CCCGAGTGCCATCACAACAACAGGGATTTGGTAGTATGAAGCAATCAGGGCTGTAGCTCAGGGATAGTTTCCCTGGAATGCCACTCCATCACATCTTCAGTGCTGCTGGTGATGATTTGCTAGAACTGCTGCAAGGCTTATTTACATTTAATCCTTCTACTAGGGTCACAGCTAAAGGTAAAGGTCAAGGTACCTGTCAGGGAACTGCCATCGGAAGGACAGGAGGTGGAAGGGCTCACAGAGGTTGAGAGAGACTTAGCAGCTGAAGAGGGAACCAGCAGGGGGAGAGAAGGAGCTCCGAGGGAAAGTGAGTCGGAGGGATGGCTCAGAGACACTTCCAGCGAAAACAGTGGGGAGGTTTCAGGACCTCCTATAGGGACACCCACTCCTCGCCGGAAACTGTCGCGCCGAGAGTCCAGAAGACGTGTTTCCGTTAAGGAGCTTTTATGCTGGAAGAGATTCCGTAAGTGCCCACTGTCGGATTCTGCTAGCGACTGACGGAGCCATGCTTAAGGGGCTCCGTTATAGACAGAGGTTTGTGGACTTAACCAAACTCTGAGGGACTAGGATTTTACGCACAAGCAGCTCATCATCCCATCACAGTACCCCTGCCCGTACAGGCCAGCCGTGTCCGACTCTAGGGTTGTGCGCTCATCTCGCTTAAGAGGCCGGGAGCCAGCGCTGTCCAGAGACACTTCCGAGTCACGTGGCCAGTGTGACGAAGCTGCTCTGGTGAGCCAGCACTAGCGCAGCACACGGAAATGCCATTTACCTTCCCTCTATAAAGCGGTACCTATTTATCTACTTGCACTTAAGGGTGCTTTCGAACTGCTAGGTGGGCAGGAGCTGGGACTGAAAGATGGGAGCTCACCCCGCCGCGGGGATTCGAACCACCAACCATGTGATTGGCAAGTCCTAGGCGCTGAGGTTTTACCCACAGTGTCACCCGCGTCCCCCGCATCACAGCTACTCAGGCACTAAAACAGAAGTATTTTAGTAATCGGCCAGCACCAACACCTGGAAGCCAGTTGCCAAGACCCAATTGCCCTGCAGAAGCCTTGAAAGAGCAACAAAACCCAGCTCCAAATTTGAAAAGGAAAAGACTGGATGGAATAGATCAAGGGTTACAAAAAAAAATTGGTGTTTTGACTACTGTGGAAACAGGGATGTTAGATATTTCTGCTGCTATGAAGTCTGAAGAGATCAAATAATGTGAAAACTTAAAAGTCACAATATGGATTAAAGCGTAAATTGTAAATGTAAACATGTAAAATGTGTGTACTGTTAAACTCTAAAATCCATGTATTTTTTTATTGCTTTGCTTTTTTAAAAAATAAAAAGTTAAAGCCTCAAAAAATAAATGCTTTGTATGCAGAAGGTCCTGGGTTCAATCCCTTGTAGAGCTGGAAATTGTCCCGATATGAAACCCTGGAGAGTTGCTGACAATTTGTGTAGACAGTGCTGAGACAGATGGCACCAATGGTCTGACACGGTATAATGCAGCTTCCCGTGACCTTAATCAACATGTTCAGAGCTTCTGGACTTGACATGTTTTCTTGCAGTAAGAGATAGGTAGATAGCTAAATATAGATATATAGATGCTGGGTTGGGGCGGCAGCACTCACAGCTGAGTCTCTGATGGTTACCTGAAAGGAGAGGGGAGGGCTGAGGGACCAGGGAGGTTGGCACCCTGCAATCTTGGGTACTCTGATTAATCTTCTGTTGCGGCCAGATATTTCTGGAAGCACTGCTATTGTAAGTGCTCCACCCACCTCCCTTCTGTCAAAGCAATCGCTGCAGAAGCATTGGCAAGCTGCTCAGTCACATTTGCCGAACCCCCTCCCCCAGCCAACCCTTTTCACCAAAACATAACTGGTTTATTTCTGGATCATAGTTAGGAATGGGGGTGGCTAGCAGGGATGGAGGAGAGCTTTTTGAGAGGTACAGTGTTTCATTTCCCCACTGCGGTTGGATGGGATCCCTACAAAAGAGATACCAAGCATCAGCTACAATTAAGGTGAGGGAGGGAAGCATTATTTTGTGTACAACAGCAGCAAGAATACTTATCGCAAAGTATTGGAAGACACAAGATCTACCCACCCTGGAAGAATGGCAGATGAAGGTGATGGATTATATGGAATTGGCGGAAATGACCGGCAGAATCCGAGACCAGGGAGAAGAGTTGGTGGAAGAAGATTGGAAGAAATTTAATGTACGAGTGTTGCCTATTGTTGTTGCTGTTGTTGGCATCAGTCTGTCTCAAGAGACAATGGCGTACACCTCCAGAAATATTGTAAAATTAATGAATGTTAGAACGATGTTGGATTGAAGCTAAGTGGTTTTCAGCAGTAATGTTATAAGGATGTGTAAAAATGGACTGATAATAAGGGAACAATTTAAAGTTATAATATATTTAAGATTAAAGATTAGGATAAAAAATAAAGAGTGAAAGGATTTGCTGAACCAACTAATTGAACTGGATACAAAAAAGGGAGGTGTGAGGTCTGGGAAACAAGCGAATGAAAGATAAGACATGAAAAGATTGAATTGTTTTTAACTGTTTTTATTTTGCATTTTTTCTTTTTCTTTTTTCTTTTTGTAATACTTTGGAAATTTAATAAAAATCTATATAAAAAAAGGAAGCATTATTTTGTGTTGGACTGAACTGGGGTTCATAGATGCCCATGTAGCATGCCTTGCCATGGTTCTTAAAAGCACATTTAGGGTGTCTTCCATTTAGGGTGGCCACTTACATGTTGCCAAAAAAGAGGAAACGCATCGCTAAAAGAAAACGACAAACACACACATATTTGCATATATTTTGCATATTTATGCTAATTGATATGTACTGACGTAAATTTAGGGGAGGGTTTTTTAATTTAAATAGAAAGGCAAAACATCTCACCTTAGTGGAGAACACTGTGACCAGTTGGCCTGTGCGCAGCCAATAGTTGATGGTTCACCTTTAAACTAGATAGGAGGTCCTTTATATAGGGATATCAGAAGAGGATCAGTCCACAGCCACATCTAGCACTTTATCTCCCAAGGTATAGAAAGACTGCAGGCATGGCATAAGTACCAGAACTGGTAGCCACTGATAATGTTATCCTCCATTAATTTGCCAAATCTCCTTTTAAAGCCATCTAACTGAATGAACACCCCTACATACTATGATTGTGAATTTTATATAAGAACAGAGGACTCTGCAAAGAATACCACTCTGCTCTCATTGTCCATCAGCATTGCAGTGCAACTCTTTGCTCATTTGGTTTATTGGCCATGCTTCTTTCTTTCAAGATTCACGGCAGGTGAATTATGCTGTGCTTCTGAGCAACTGCAGAAAAAGTGTCTCTCCTTACAGAACAATGCCCTGGATTATCTTGTGACAGCATATGGCAGAAACCCTTCATGTGTGTGTGTGGGCAGGGTGGGTGGGTGGGGAGGTCAGGAACCTCAGACCTAGGGGCCAAATGTAACCTTCCTGGCCTCTGTTTGCCCCTTGAGATTTTCCCCAGGTCACACATCCTGCTGAGTCACAGTCCTCACCAGGAGTAAAAAGGTAAAGGTACCCCTGACCGTTAGGTCCAGTCGCGGACGACTCTGGGGTACTTGATTTCTAATAATGCCTCTTCCTTGCCTGGATGGAAGATGGAAGATAGATACGAGTGCATAGCTGTCAAGCGTCCCTTATTTGGCGGGACAGTCCCTTATCCCAGCGCCATGTCCCGCTGCTGTCCCTTATTGATGATGTCCCTTAAATTTCCCGGGTTTCAAAGGAAGCAGCTCCTCTCCCTCCCTCCCTGCCGGCCAGGGAGGAGGGAGGCTCCAATTGGGTTGCTTGGCTGCGTTGCTCACCCAATAAGGAGTCTAAGAATGACTGGGGGGGTGGAGCTTGCATGCTTTGTGCCAATCAAATCGGCCGCACTGCCGTTGCCCAGTGCTTCCCAGTGGAGAGTTGACGGTGGTTTTCCTTGCTGCATCCCCTTTGCCGGGTTGCTGCGCTGTGGGAACCACCGCTTGAGGCTTTGTTTGGCTGCTGGCTGGGCTTTCCGCCTTTGGCTCGGAGGGGCTCAGAAGTTGAACATACCTGTGCTTGGAAAATCCCTTATTTTGGCTGCTGATCCCTTATTTTTGAGGCTGCTGGTCCCTTATTTTCAAGTCTGTAAGTTGACAGCTATGTACGAATGTTGCCTATTGTTGTTGTTGGCATCAGTCTGTCTCAAGAAACAATGGGGAACACCTCCAGGGGTGAATTCAAACCGCTGGAGAATCACAGTGCCTGTGGGGTTGCGGAGACTGGTAATATAACTGCTGCCTCCCACATTGGTTTTTGCTCTGTTAACAACACCAAAGTGACCCCTCCACCAAAGAGAGCCAGTGTGGTGTAGTGGTTAAGAGCAATGGACTCATAATCTGGTGAACCGGGTTCGCTTCCCTGCTCCTCCACATGCAGCTGCTGGGTGACCTTGGGCCAGTCACACTTCTCTGAAGCCTCTCAGCCTCACTCACCTCACAGAGTGTTTGTTGTGGGGGAGGAAGGGAAAAGGAGATTGTTAGCTGCTTTGAAACTCCTTCGGGTAGTGATAAAGCGGGATAGCAAATCCAAACTCTTCTTCTTCTTCTCTTTAGGGTGCAAACCTGGGCAGTGTGTAGGGAGGTCCTGGGCTGCCCAGACGACCAAACCTCCCTCTTGGCTTTGCCAATGTGGTCCAAAGGAAAGCAGAGCAATGCATTTGGCACCAGTACAGAGGTAAAATTCACATTTGTTGCTCTACTCACTTTTGCTTGTGCCCCCTACCCACTGGCATGTGGCCCTCAGTAGGTATCCAGAAGGAAATATGGCCCCAAGATGAAAAATGTTCCCTCTCCCAGCCTGACAGGCTACCATTGAGTCTCCCAGGTTCTCTGTGAGGACCACTATACCCACATTGACATTTCCCTGAGCCACTGATGTTGTTGCACTGTTTTTTTATTTTTTATTCATAATAAATAATACAATATATTACAGAGACCCTCATAATAATAAATGAAATTGCATTAAACAGGAAATAAACTCAGCAAGACACCGGCCAACGCAGAAAACAGCAGTCTTTCCCCGCCCAGCTCAAGTTATATAACACTTTGGAAAGGGTTAATGGACAGATCATTCTTTCTGGATTGATTTTCCTCGCACATCTCTGACTTCCCCCACAGCTGCAGGAGGACTGACTTTTGGTCCAGTTCCTCATCATACCTGTGCTCGCCTCTGGATGAAGCACCCAAAACTACCTTCCCTTTAACTGGGCTGCCAACCAAGCAAACAAAACTCTCCCCAGATATTTCAGGGACGTTTCTTTTAAAATCTGATTCTGTTGCCAAATTATTTTGTTCAACAGCCAGAATTTGCGGTTAGTAAGATTTTTGTTTGAAGCTGATTTTTCTTTTCTTGAAGTGAAATTCAGCTGCACCTCTCCCACTTAGTGCACCTGCAATGTGTCTTGAACTCTGAAGGTGACCCACCTCCTATCCTCAGGAGCTGAGCCAAATGGTCCATTTCACACACTGCTGCCTGAGTGACTGAGTCAGCAGCCTCAGTTGTGCCTGTTTCCTCTGTGGCCACACCTTTCCTCAGACCAAGGAAAGAGGAGTTGCAAGGGCCCAGAGCCACAGGGGAGATTTTGTTCAGGGGCAGCAATGGAGATTACTCTCACACGTGATCTCCTGTGCAGATCCTTCACCCTTCAAGCACAGGCCAGGTCTAACACCTCTGCCAACACCAGCTGCAGCAGCAGCAAACCTCTGGATTTTATTGGCTCCACTCCCGCCAGTCCCATTCCCCCATCCCGACTCCTGGCTCTGCCTCCTCTAGGTCTTAACCTCTTGATACCTGGCCAAACGCAAATGCTATCAATCCTCTCACACATCGACTAGAGGCAGAAGTGTCGAGCTGGAGCAAGGATGTCAACCCGTCTAAGGAAGGGGCCTTGTGCTTTGTACAGTAGATCTAGAAATTGTTTCTCTTCCTTTTGCCGCTTGCTTGAACCCATGGAAGATGGAAATCAAGGCAAGGCAAGAGTCTGGATGGTGTTTTCCTTTTCTCCGTGAATGTATATGTGGCAGTCTTTTTCTCTAAAGGCTGGGGTGTTTCTGTAGGGTCGTCTCACACAAATTCTCATCTCCCTGTCCAATGTATCACTCCATAAACCCCACTGTAACTCCGACCTGAGGGGTTCATGTGAATATTTACAGTGTATGTGGGCTGGAGCTGTATTAAGCATACAAAAAAGGGCTAGTTGCAAGCATTATTGCATATATGAAGCTGGACCAAGCCTAGGAAATTCAAGCTCAGGCAACTTTGCCCCCAAACCCTGAAAGCCCAGAGTATATGTGGACCTGGGGGTACTTGTCCTGTAGCCCATCAGGAAGGGAAATATAAACTGCTAAAGAAACTATTAACACACCCACCCCTCGCACAGTTGCAAAAGCTAAGGTGCCAGGCATAACTCTAGAACACTTGCAGGTCTTTGCCGGTCCTGAGACGTTACAATGCGATTCTTGTTTGGTGCAGCACTTTGAATGCCTTGTTCCCAAAACGGACTGTGCTCAAACCATCCATGTTCCAGCTTTCTTCTTCCCATGCACCCACACACACACATGCACACACACACATACTCACAATGGTTATTTACACAAGTAATGTCCCCCTGATTCCCTCTTCGGTCCCCAGGCATCAGTGGAAGCTATCTTGGTTCTTTAAATTGCAAGGCATTTGGTCAGTGTTCATTTGGCATCAGGGGGTGTTTGAGTCTTCTCTACCTTCTCATCCAGAGCGTTCTCATTTGCAGGAGGCCATTTCTATGCTTTTCTCTTTCTCTTCCCACTCTTCTTCCGACTCGTAAGTGCCTTTCACAATTGCGACCCTCTCTGACATGTTCATTGGATGAGGCATCAGAAGGTAGTTGTAAAGCAGAGAGGCCAAAATGCCTCCAACGATGGGGCCTACCCAGAAGACCTGAGGAACCAAGGGAAGGAGTTAGAAGCTGTCCAAAGACTTTCAGGCTCCTTTGTGCCAGCTAGGCCAGAGCAGAGATGGTTGATTCATCTTGTGCCGTATCTTCCATGAAAGAAATGCCTCATGGGTTTGGGCAGAGGTAGGCAAGTGCAGCCCAAGGCCGACTCTCATACAGCCCTTGGCCTAATTTCAAAAGCATTTTGCCAGCTAGCCACTCACATGCCCTCCAACATTTCTCCAATGAAAATAAGGTAAAGGTAAAGGTACCCCTGCCCGTACGGGCCAGTCTTGACAGACTCTAGGGTTGTGCGCTCATCTCACTCTAGAGGGCCGGGAGCCAGCGCTGTCCGCAGACACTTCCGGGTCACGTGGCCAGCGTGACATGCTGCAACTGGCTAGCCAGAGCTGCACACGGAAATGCCGTTTACCTTCCCGCCAGTAAGCGGTCCCTATTTATCTACTTGCACCCAGGGGTGCTTTCGAACTGCTAGGTTGGCAGGCGCTGGGACCGAGCAACGGGAGCGCACCCCGCCGCGGGGATTCGAACCGCTGACCTGACGATCGGCAAGTCCTAGGCGCTGAGGTTTTACCCACAGCACCACCCGCGTCCCCCAATGAAAATAGGGATGTCCTATTTAATAATAATGATAATGATAATGATAATTTTACTATTTATACCTCGCCCATCTGACTGGGTTGCCCCAGCCACACTGAGTGGCTTCCAACACTAACAACAACAACATTAAACATTTTAAAAACTTCCTTATACAGGACTGACTTCAGATTGCTTGGGGGTCGAGTAACTCCATACCCTCCAACATTTCTCCAATGAAAATAGGGACGTCCTAAGAAAAGACGGGACATTCCAGGATCAAGTCAGAAACTGGGACGGCTTCTGTAAATCTGGGACTGTCCCTGGAAAATAGGGACACTGCATTCTGACTTAGCTATCTGCACACAGTCTGCTAAGACGGAAGAGAGAGAGAGAGAGATTGAACGGGTAACACATAGTGAGAAAGAGGTGGAGGGGCAGAGGGAAATAGGAAAAAGGGAGTGGCACAGAGAAAATGCGGGAGAAGGGGTGACAGAGAGAGGATGAAAAGGGGTGAGAGAGAAAGAAAGGAAGGAAGGAAGGAAGGAAGGAAGAAAGAAAGAAGAGAGGGTAGGAGAGTGAAAGAGGTTGACACACTCGCTTTTGGCTCTAGCCCCACCCACTGCTGACCTCTTCCTAGCCCCCCCGCCACCATGCAGCCCCCAACAGATTACTCCTAAGGGGACGTGGCTCTGCAATGTAGATAGTTGCATGTGGAGCAACAGAGAGCAACCCCTTCCTCTTTGGTCGGCCAGTCCCAGAACAGGAATGGGTGATGTCTGAACCTGAGGGCCAGACATTATAGCTATTTCCCCATGGTTCCTGCTTGGGCAGATCTTCTGATGAATTTCAAAGGAAGCAAAAGGAATTTTACTAAAATTTGCATAATTTCTCAAGGGTGCAATCTCTCTTTCGTCGAAAGCAAAAATTCACAGCAAATTTGGAGGTCCCTGTCTGGCCCAAAAAAGTCAAGACATTTTAAAGGAATCAGAAATGGTGGTTGGCGATCTGTACTTCCTATTTGGATTTCAACTCCACATTTTAGGGACCACAGATGCAGCTACAATATGAAGGAGAATATATGGGAAGGTGGCCTATTTCTGAGTCATATATCACCACCATTGTGCTCATGGCATTGCGAATCTTGTTGAAATTTGGTGACCCAACACAGTTCTAAAACACAGATGAAAAATTACACACACACCAGAGTTACCCAACATGGTGCCTTGTAATTTAAAGCTCCCATTAGTTTCTGCTATTCCATTATTCTGGAATGATGGAAGTTGTAGTCATCTGAAGGGAAGCACATTGTCTATTCCTACTGTACGTTATCTTTTACACTGAAATACTTCTGTATTAAAATATGTGTGACTTTGGTTTTGCATCCAGTAAACCCTAGCTGTGCAGCAGCTAAGGGTCAGTTTTCACTGCTTATTTCCTGTGACTGTCTTTTACTTCAGAGTGAAAAGCTCTAACTTCTTACCCAATGAGCACTGCTGAATCTTTTCATGACAACAGCAGGTCCAAAAGACCTGGCAGGATTCATAGAGCAGCCAGTAAAATAGATCTGTGGGAAAGAGGGGAGGTGTTTGTTAGGCATCTAAACATTTCTTGTAATTCCATTGTTTATAATCTTTTTTTAAATTCAGTTTTGCATTACACATATAAATTCAAACATTAGACATAACCATCAACATTTAGGAGTCCCTAAATCCTTGGCCTTTCCTCCACCCTTCCATGGTTTTCTTTTTCAACTGCATCATATATTTTCTCTATTTTTCTCAAAGTAGTCCATTTTTACCTTTGTTTACAGTACATTACAAGCATTACTCAAATCCTGCCAAAGCTTTTAGCTGTTTACAGTGTTCTCTTAGGTAATTTGTAAATTTCTCCTATTCCTTATTTAAGTTTCTCTCTTCCTGGTTTCTGATTTTCCTGGTCACTTTTGCCATGAAGCCTAGGATGGCAAAACAAGGCTAATATTCCGGAAATCCTTGTCTGAGACTCTGTAAAAGGATTCTGTGGAACTGTAACAACCCTTCATGTGGGTTATTGGACTCTTTGAACAGACAGGTGGAATAGATACTTATACATGTATCTATGCATGAGCTGATCCACTGAGTCTTCTGCTTTTTCCGTTGAACTTTATGAGACTTCTGTTGAAATCTACAAATTGATACAATGAATAAGGTAAAGGGTAAAGGGACCCCTGATCATTAGGTCCAGTCATGGCCGACTCTGGGGTTGCGGCGCTCATCTCGCTTTATTGGCCGAGGGAGCCGGGGTACAGCTTCCAAGTCATTGGCCAGCATGACTAAGCCGCTTCTGGTGAACCAGAGCAGCACACGGAAACGCCATTTACCTTCCCGCTGGAGCGGTACCTATTTATCTACTTGCACTTTGACATACTTTTGAACTGCTAGGTTGGCAGGAGCAGGGACCGAGCAACGGGAGCTCACCCTGTTGCGGGGATTCGAACCGCCAACCTTCTGATCGGCAAGTCCTAGGCTCTGTGGTTTAACCCACAGCACCACCCGTGTCCCTTGATACAATGAATAGTATACCTTATTTATTCAAAAGTACAGCCAGTTACGTTTTGTGTGTTTATTGAGTATGTTCCACGTAACCATAGGTTTGTTGTTGTTGCTTTGCGAAAGTTAGGCAATCCCTGCAAATTCTCCCTTCTGGCATTCTCCACACCACGGAGCTGCTATCAGATTCTCAGCCCGGCCATGCTTGGTGTGGTGCGAATCCCGCTTGTGTGCACAAGCCCTTCCATGCGAATGCTGCATCTCTACACGAGGGCCATGGGTTCCCTGCCTCTGCTCTACCCAAACGGGCCATAGCTCTATAGTACAGCACACCTTTAGCATGCCAAATGTATTTCTTTCCAATCCTGGCTTCTTCAGGGGAAAAAGGTACCGGTAGTAAAGGATGAGAAATATGATTGTATCCAAAGCTAGTCCTGCTCAGAGTAGACAGAACTAAGTTAGTCATGTCTGATCATTTCTATGGGTCCACTCTGAGTAGGGCTAGCATTGGATTCAACCCATACTCTCTGTCTGAAACCCTGGAGAGCCATTGCTATCCAGGCAGAGCGGACAACACTGAACACTGGGCTACATAGGCAAACAGTCTGACTTGGCATAAGACTCTCCTTCCTTGGAGGTTTTTAAGCAGGGATTGGATGGCCATCTGTCATGGATGCTTTAGCTGGGAATCACGCATTGCAGGGGGTTGGACTAGATGACCCTTGGTACCCCTTTCAACTCTACAGTTCTATGATTTTATGAAGACTACTTCCTACTGCAGAAATGGCAGAAGCCATAGGATTCTTTGCTTGGAGCTCTCACTTCTCATCTCTGCCAAGCTAAGCAGTTGGTTCCTTACCTCTCTCACCCTGACCTAGACACTGTGATCCACGCGACGGTCACCTCCAGGCTTGATTATTGTAACTCACTCTACGTGGGGCTGCCCTTGAGACTGACCCAGAAACTCCAGCGGGTGCAGAATGCCGCGGCGAGACTCCTTACGGGGTCTTTGCCACAGGATCACATTCACCCGGTGCTATACCAGCTGCACTGGCTCCAGGTGGAGTACAGGATCAGGTTTAAGGTGCTGGTTTTAACCTTTAAAGCCCTATACATCCTAGGACCCTTGTACCTATGGGACCGCCTCTCCTGGTATGTCCCATGGAGGACCTTCCGGTCTTCAAACAAAAACATCTTGGAGGTCCCGGGCCACAGGGAGGTTAGGCGGGCCTCAACCAGAGCCAGGGCTTTTTCGGCTGTGGCTCCAATCTGGTGGAACGCTCTGTCACAAGAGACTAGGGACCTGTGGGACTTGACATCTTTCCACAGGGCCTGCAATACGGAGCTGTTCCGCCAGGCCTTTGGCCAAGGCACAGCCTGACCCCCTCCTTTGGTAATCCTCACAGAACTCTAGCCCAATGATTGCCATTAATTTGATTTTGAATTGATTTTAGAATGAATTGATTTTAGAATGCTGTATTACTTTTACTGTTGTTAGCCACTCTCAGCCTGGCTTCGGCTGGAGAGGGCGGGATATAAATAGTGACTGTGGCCCCACATCACCCCCCCCAAGTGATCAGCACTCAAGGCTGCCATGATGTGGGGGCATTTCACTTTTTCCATCTCCCCCTTCCTTTTGTTTATGTAACACCGCTTTGTTTTCCACACAGAAGGTCGCAGGTTCAGCGCCTGCCACCTGCACCTTGGAGAGCTGCTGCCAAGTATTTCTGGACAAACCTGAGCTCGATGGACTAATAGCCTGACTCAAAACACCAGACAGCTCCCGATGTTCCTAAAAGAAAACCTGAACAGAAACACACTTACCCCAACGAGGTGGCCCAGAGTGACAGCCAGTCCGATAGACAGGGATGGGGAGCCCACATGGTCACGCCGGCGGCTGTCAGTCGAGGCAAAGATGCACATAACAAGCATGAAAGTTAAGATCATCTCCACCACCACAGCCTGGCCTGCGGTTGTGTTGTTGCTGAGCTGTCAGGATGGAAGAGAAGAGACTGCGGTTACAATCTTGCACGTTCATCTCTGGAACTAACTCCTGCTTAAAACCAAGAAAAACTACTTCCAACTAAGTAGAGGTTACTCTTAAGGGTGGTTGTTAAGAAAACAACAAACCCCAAAGTGCAATAGGACTTCACGGTTGCTATTAGATTTCATTCCTCTGAGCTGCATTTCACTCTCTACTTGGACGCTGCCAAGCTTGCTGGAGGTGTGGTGCTTAATAATACTAAATAAACAATTCAGCTCACTGAGCTTCAATAGAACTAAACTGGAATTATAAACCCCTCTCTACAGGACAGGAAAGGATCTTTAAGAAGCAACAGGAGTTGGAGTTATACAAGGCATTCATTGTTTTCTTAAATGGTCTATCACTCTGTCCATCTTTTATTTCCTTCATTTATCTCTCTTTTGTTACTGATTTCTCATACAGCCTCATCAACCTAGCCCTGAGATATTATCTCTTGGCAAATGCTTTATCTCCTTCAAATGCTCTTTACAACAGCTAATACCTGCTGAAGAACAATGCAGGGGGAAGCTATGGGATTTGCAACAATTCAGGAGCAGATACCAGGATCCTCTTTTAGGCAGCCTTAAAAGAATGTTCCCTGGCTCCATTAAATGAGTCTCTAGCTTACATTTAGAAGAGGGGAGTTAGAAGGAACTATAAGCATTTGGGATTTACATAGGTATGTTGCGGGTCAATGAAATTCACGGGGGGGGGGGGGAATAGATTTTAAGCCCTCTGGTCAGGCAGTTTGCATCTTTACACCCATGAGGTTTAAGGTAATTCTTGCTTTTGGGGCAGGTTTGTAATGCAAATATCAAACCTACAGTGGGCAGGTGGCTTATCTACATTACAAACGTTTCTCCTTCCAGCTTCCTCTTCTACATCGGACAACAATTCAGAGCTACAATTTAGTGTTAATGTGGATAATGCAATAGAGATTGAAATGCAGAGGAGTCCGAAGATTCCCTTTTGCAGTCTCTGCATGCTAACTAAAAGCTTAATAGGAACAGAAGAATGGTTGCTGGTGAAAATTTAGGAAACAAGGGGAAGTGAGCTGGATCCTTAGCTACTGAACAAGTAGGTAAAAAAATCTGATTTCCTTTGGTAGGAAATTTGTGCCCCTACAATGGAAACCTGGAACTTCCAGTTGCCTTTAACACTGACTCCCTTCCCTTTCCACAGCAGGCGCTGTAGCACTAAAAGTTTGACTTCACCCCTGAAGGCGCACTCTTCTGTTGTTTCCCGAGACAGATCAATGCCAACCGACCAGCCTTAATGCCTTACAGATGCTTTGGACTAAAACTCCCCCCATCCCCTAGCTCTGCTAGCTGCAGCTGATAGGAGCTGCAGTCCAACACATCTGGAGAGCACCAGGTTGGCAAAGGGTGTTCTGAATTTCCCCACATCCTCCTCCTGCTGGCTTAGCTGGTCTCTTGTACCTTTTCCTGTCCAGGTCTAATGAGGATTCTAAACCTTCCCGGATGGGTCCATTTAATTCAATACACAGACCAGCATAGAGTTTAGTGTGCTGAAGACTGGTGGATCTTTCAGCTTCATCCTGGGCTTAACAGACCTTTCACAGGGATCTGAAGAGATCCATGCTCACACATGGGAAGCAAATGGGAAACTCTGTGTTCACAGTTGTTGGGCTTGTGTGTAGCTAATTTACTCTTCCTTCCCACATCCCTGAGCATAGTTCTCAATGCTGTCCACTGGACTGCAAGAGTAGCTTTTGGAGTGGGAAACCCAGCCAGATGGGCAGGGTGTAAATAATAAACTATTATTATAAATTATTATGCCATTGGGAAATAGTGGGAAAGAAGTCAATGCCTTTCCAAGAGGACACAAGGCAACATGCAGGAACTGAATATCAACAGTTTGAAATGGTTCCAAATTATTATCGTTTTGAAAAACAACAACTCTAAAAGGAACCAACATCTGTACATCTGCCGCTCCCCAGATCATTCTTTAAGTGGTAAAGCTGGAGTTAAAGAAAAAGTATCTCTCTCTCTCTCTCTCTCTCTCTCTCTCTCTCTCTCTCTGGGACTGGCTGACTCATTCGCTTGGATATGAGAGACCTTTGGAAGAAACACCACATTGAAAATTACAAGGCACAATTAACCAGTCCTGCCAGCAAACTTCCATGCCTATTCTTACTCTACAGCATAATGTGCTGGTGGGATCTCTTGTGCCACAAGCTCTTCAGAGGCTAGGTTCAGGTCTCTCCTGAGAAGCCAGTTCCCCTTTGAGGGGCACTTGCCTGCCCGAGGTGCCAAACCACCAATATCACGTATCTAATCCACAGCCACAGCAAGTACTTACCGCGTTGACTGCCAGGTTGCCACGGGCGTTAGAAGGAGTCACCGCATAAAGTATGCCTGCCCCGGCGATGGCACCGATCATCTGGGCTGCAACATAGAACAATGTCCGGAGGAAAGAGATCTGGTTCCCTACAAAGAAGGCAATGGTCACTGCTGGGTTGACGTGGCCACCGCTGATGGGACCAAATGTCTGCACCATCGTGGCAATGGCCAAGCCGAAAGCCAGGGCGATCTGGAGGACGCTTGGCAAGGCCGAAGGCCACTTCAGGGCTGAGCCCAAACCGAAGAAGACGAAAAGCAGGGTGGCTAAGAACTCGCAGAAGACAGCTCGGAGAAAAGCGATGGTGCAAATTTCTTTTCTCATGGTTGCACTGGAGCAGGTGGAATGGCAATGAAGGTGTGAAAGCCTCTGCTCTGTCTGGGATGCCAAGGGAGTGAAGCAAAGTGCCGGGCCATACAGAGAGAGATATATATCTGCAGGTGCTGCAATAAAAGATCGTCTCCAGGTATGGGCGGAGCCAATAAAAGTGGCCAGTCCTCCTCTTCCCCCTCCTGTTCCTGTGGAGTTTGGAAACTTTCCATCTTCAGACAACAACTGCACCTTCCTCTCTTGTAGGCTCCAATATTGGTGCTGATTTTCTTCTTTTCTCCTTCAGACAATGGGGTTTCTATTGAATAGCCTTGCTGTCATTAGATAACCACAATATTGCATAATGCCACAGAGATTAGCACCTTGTCTGTTTACCTTCTTTTCTTCTCTTTTCTTGTTCTTTCAGTTTGTAACACAAGGCATTTCATCTCTATTAAGCTGTTTTTTATTTCTTAAAAATGCACTCAGATATTAGGCTTCTAATATGCCACTATTCCACCCTCCCCCTTCTCAGGGCTGAAGAGTGGAAAGTAATCGGGCAATAATTGTGGACAACTCTGCAGAACTGGATTCTCCAGTATGCCAGCGCAGGTCTTGAATGCATTTCTTTTGAATCGTTAGGAGTTTTTGGTAGTTTGCTCCAGAAAATGTGAAAGCTTTTGCTCTGTGTTCCTATCTATCAAAAATGAAGGTAAAATAAAACAATGGGTACAAATCTACATGCAGCCACTTGCTGCAGAGCTGTGAAATGTATCAGCAGTGTAGAGGTTTAGTTTACAACCTGTAAAGTTTCAATAGGAGTGCAGAACCTGGGGCATGTGTTTATTTAATACCATTTGGATAACTGCCCAGTATTACATGTTATCTGGGTGGCTCACAAAAATTAAAAGAAACACACACACACACACACAGACACACAGTGCAAAACACTATAAGTAGTACAAAAGCAGCAGTTGTTCTTGTTTGGAAGAGGAAAAGAGCAAAACTATTAATAGCCCATCAAGAACAATTCATAAATTGAGACAAGTGGTAAAAGCACAGCTTGCTTAAAAGACTGGATGATTAAAAAGGTATTTCACCTAGTACTGAAAAGACCATAAGAATAGTACCAGGTGAACCTCTCTGGGGAGACTGTTTAGTAACTGGGGTACCACCACCAAGAAGGCCCTCTCCCATCCCCCTCACTTCATTTGGTGAGAGCACCCAGAGTTGGTCCTCTGAATAGGACCTGCCTATCTCTTTATCTACCTGACTGCACTGGCTGCCAATTTGTTTACTGGCCCAGTTCAAAGTGTTGGTTTTGACCTATAAATCCTTAAATGGCTCAGGACCACAACACCTCAAGGATAGCCTCTCCCCATAAGAACCAAGCCCTGCCATCATCACCTGGGGCCCTTCTTCACGTGCCTGCTTCACAAGAGGTCCAGTGGGTGGGAACATGAGAAGGGGCCTTTTCTGTGGTGGCTCCCCATTTGTGGAATGCTCTCCCCAGGGTGACTTGCCTGGCACCTTCATTACAAATCTTTAGGCACCAGGTGAAAACATTCTTCTTCTACTGGATGTTTGGCTAATTAAACAAATGATGTGCTTTTAAACTTTGCTTGTGTGGGGTGTTATCATTTTGTTTGTTATCATGTTCTGTATTTTTGTGGTTTTATCTCGTAAACCACCCAGTGATCCTCAGAAGGGCAGTATAGAATAATAATAATAATAATAATAATAATAATAATAATAATAATAATAATAATTAATAATAATAGAAACAGTTCAAGAGAATCCCATGGTCAACCATATCAAAAACCACTGAGAGAGCAATAAGGTTGTACTCCCCATGTTTCTTGGACCCAGTCCAATTCTTTCTTTAAATAGTGTCTGAACCCTAAATTTAATAAATACCGATAATAATAGTCTAAACCAGGCTGCTGTTTTAGTTGCACTGGGGAAAACATTCAGGTGTCTCCCACATAACTAATTAGGTATTCAGGGAAAAGCAATTTAGACTGTAGAGACTGCAAGGAGGGGAGATTTGAGTGTGCACAGTGCTTCTTCCATATCCTTCAAAGCAACTGCTAATTTGTTTTAGAAGGAGATAACGCTCATGAACTAGTTTGACCCTAAGCATTCCCATGATTGTCTATATTGCATTGCTCTTGTGCGTAGTGAAACCTCTCACATTGATGGGATTACCTGGTTAACCACACAGAATATTCAGCTGATTGGGGAAACAAACAATGTGCATTTCATCTTCTGTGAGGAAATGAGAAATTGTCAGTTTGGCTGGGGTTAAAATTCCAGAGGCAGGCCAAGGGATATAGAGATGCTAAGGGGCAGGGAGCTCAAAGGCAGGGAAGGTGAAGGAAAGTTCCAGAATACAGTGGTACCTCAGGTTAAGTACTTAATTTGTTCCAGAGGTCTGTTCTTAACCTGAAACTGTTCTTAACCTGAAGCACCACTTTAGCTAATGGAGCCTCCTGCTGCCACCGCACCGTCAGAGCACAATTTCTGTTCTCATCCTGAAGCAAAGTTCTTAACCCGAGGTACTATTTCTGGGTTAGCGGAGTCTGTAACCTGAAGCATATGTAACCTGAAGTGTATGTAACCTGAGGTACTACTGTATGCAATCAACTGAGTAGCTGAAGGAAAGGTAGATGGAAAATGAAATTTAAAGGAAAGGAAAGAGGAGGCAGGAAGCTGCACCAAGAAGTGGGCTATCAAGGAGGGAGCTCAGGAGAGGCTGTATTTCCTTAGAGGGAAGAAGACAGGAGCACTTCAGAAGGTGGGCCAAGAGAATGAGTGGCTATGGGAATGGGATAAAGTGTACAATAAAAAACAATGCTTGGTGGAGATGTGAAGAAGGAGGCAGGTGGAAGTGAGGAGAAAGCAGGACAGGTACAAAACTGGAAAGCTGAAAGGAGCTGTGTCCTGCTGGTAGGAAGTAAGTCACCAAGAAAATGAAGCTGTGACACGTGGGGACTCAGCTAGGAAGCCAAAAGGGCATGAAGTTTGCTAGGTCTAGAATAGGTCTGGCAGAGTAAATCAGGCAGTTAATGGCTTTTAATGTTGCGGGTGAGGGCTTGCCGATCAGAAGGTCGGTGGTTCGAATCCCTGCGATGGGGTGAGCGCCCGTTGTTCGGTCCCTGCTCCTGCCCACCTAGCAGTTCGAAAGCATGTCAAAGTGCAAGTAGATAAATAGGTACCACTCCAGCGGGAAGGTAAACAGCGTCTCCATGCACTGCTCTGGTTTGCGGCTTAGTCATGCTGGCCACATGACCCGGAAGCTGTCTGCGGACGAACGCCGGCTCCCTTGGCCTATAGAGCGAGATGAGCACTGCAACCCCAGAGTCGTCTGTGACTGGACCTAATGTTCAGGGGTACCTTTACCTTTACTGTTGTGGTAGCATTGTGGCCTGACTGTTTTAAAGGACCAGAATAAAAACCCCAAAGCCATGATGGATTGCATGTGAAATAGATTTGAACTAACCAGCTGTTTACTTGGCTTATTGTCAAACCGGTGTTCGACGTCACAATCTTTATCTGTCCCCAAAAGATCTTTATGGGGCAGGTTCTGAGAGTGCCGATTTTACAGGGAAAGAGCTGAGGTTCGGACAGCAACTCAGCCAGGACTGTGCGGCAAGTCCTAATGGCCAGGCAAGGATTTGACTGCCAGAGCAAATTCAGGGGGTGGGTCACCAAACAGAAAAGACTGGAGATTCCACAGGCAGATGAGGACTGAAATAGGTAAGGCTTTGCCAGGGGAAAAAAATTAAGCCACTTTTCAATGCTTGTCAATAATAATAATAATAATAATAATTTATTATTTATACCCCGCCCATCTGGCTGGGCTTCCCCAGCCACTCTGAGCAGCTTCCAACAAAATATTAAAATACCGTAATACATCAAACATTAAAAGCTTCCCTAAACAGGGTTGCCTTCAGATGTCTTCTAAAGGTTTGGTAGTTATTTTTCTCTTTGACATCTAATGGAAGGGCATTCCACAGGGCGGGTGCTACAACCGAGAAGGCCCTCTGCCTGGTTCCCTGTATCTTGGCTTCTCACAGCAAGGGAACCGCCAGAAGGCCCTCGGTGCTGGACCTCAGCGTCCGTGCAGAACGATGGAGATGGAGACGCTCCTTCAGGTATACTGGACCGAGGCCGTTTAGGGCATTAAAGGTCAGACCAACATTTTGAATTGTGATTGGAAACGTACTGGGAGCCAATGAAGGTATTTCAAGACTGGTGTTATGTGGTCTTGGCGGCCACTCCCAGTCACCAGTCTAGCTGCCACATTCTGGATTAGTTGTAGTTTCCGGGTCACCTTCAAAGGTAGCCCCACGTATTGCGCATTGCAGTAGTCCAAGCGGGAGATAACCAGAGCATGCACCACTCTGGCGATGCAGTCTGCGGGCAGGTAGGGTCTCAGCTTGCGTACCAGATGGAGCTGGTAAACAGCTGTCCTGGACACAGATTTGACCTGTGCTTCCATGGACAGATGTGAGTCCAAAATGACTGCCAGGCTGTGAACCTGGTCCTTCAGGGGCACAGTTACCCCATTCAGGACCAGGGAGTCCTCCACACCTGCCCACCTCCTGTCCCCCCAAAACAGTACTTCTGTCTTGTCAGGATTCAACCTCAATCTGTTAGCCGCCATCCATCCTCCAACCGCCTCCAGACACTCACACAGGATGATGATCATCCTTATAGTTGCATTTTGAATGTTTTATATTATTAGGCACGGACTCAGGGCACAATTGGCATCTGAAGTGTGGTTAATGGTTGCATCCAGAACGATAATAGCAAAGGCATGTGCAGGCTACAGAGTATGCAAGGGTAATCCGGCAGCCTGCCAACAAACACACACACACGAACACTCACACATACTTTGTGCTCTGCTCTAAGCTTCAGCGAACTATTATTCTGAGCAGCCAAAGGTCAAATAAACAGTACTGTTTCTCTGCACAGTGTGTACATGTGTCTGCCTGCCAGTGTGTGCACAGGGCAGGGTGTGCACCTTTAGGTGGCACAGCTGGGATGAGGTCAGTATCATGCACGTGTTAGAATCATAGAATTGCCGAATTGGAAGGGACCCTGAGTATTGCTAGTTTGTGACTGACTCTGCCGTCTCTTTTGAGAGATTTGCTGCCTTCTGCTCTTGAGCTGGCTCGGGCAATATATTGA